AGAAGATACAACTTCTTGGGCTTTTTTTCTCCGAAATTTACGTGCACATGTTATCACAAGGGAAAATATATATGTCATTTCAGATCGCAGAGCTGGGATCAAAGCAGCAATGGAGTCTTTGGGTCCAATGTGGCAACCACCCTTTGTCCAACATAGGTATTATCTTCGACACATTGCTGCGAACTACCATGGAAGGTACAAGAAGAATGATGAGCGTCAATTAATTGTACGCATGGGTAAGTGAAACTTAGCAAGTTTGTTATCTTTCGATCGTTTTAATTTTGCAAAGACAACAAGTTAGTAAGTTATATATTTTTTGATCAGGTTACGAACTACTTCCTCGAACATTTGAATCAATGTTTCAAGAGTTGCAGGCGAAGAACGAGGAAGGATATGATTACATCAGCCTCATCGATAAAGAAATGTGAACGAACGCATATGAAGGTGGATATCGATATGGACACATGACGACCAACTTGGCAGAGGTAATCAATTCAACCTTAAAGGGTCTACGTCACTTACCTGTAGCGGCTTTGGTAAAGACTACATATTTTTGTTTAGGGGTGCTTTTTGCGAAACTCAGGGGACAAGCTCAAACCTGGATGCAAGGCGGTCATGTCTATCACCCTAGATTAGTTGCAGATCTACAGAAAAAAATTGTTACATCAAATGGAATGTCTGTAACAAGCTTCTCTAGAAGGCATGAAATGTTTCGTGTCACAGAGTTACCGCGACCTCTTCAAGGGATTGAAGCTGTGTCGTTAAGAGTAAATCTAAGGGACAAAACGTGCGACTGCGGGTTTTTTCAAGCTCTGAAGTATTCATGCTCTCATGTGATAGCAGCTTGCTCGCATACACGTCAAGACTATAACCATTTTGTGGATCCCGTATACCTACTATCTGAAGTTTTTAAAGTATACGAATTTGAGTTCCCCCCCCATAGGTAATGACAAAGACCCTTATGAGGTTCAAGATTGGCTTCCGATTGTACCAAATCTGAGTTTATTGAGGGAGCGTGGTCGTCCAAAATCCAATCGAATTCATTGCGATATGGATATTAGAGAAAGATATAGACAAGACAGAAGATGTGGGCATTGTAGAAACCCATGACACACTAGAAAAACATGTCCATTTTTGTTGTCATCAAGTAACAATTGATGAGGAAATGATGTATTTTATTATCAAATAATAATTCTTCTAATTTAATTTGCATTTACTTCAAGTTAATGTCATTTGATAATCACCGATGAAGATTAAAAAAACAAACACAATCATTAAATTTTAACAAACTAATAACAATAAGTATTAAATGGTAAATGATAACCAAATTACAATAACTGATATTAAATGGTAATAAAAAAAACGAACTGAAATACATTAAAAAACAAAATAAAGTAAGTATTAAATGAGAAATAATAAAAAAATTACAATTTAACAAAATAAAATAAATACAAATATAATAAAAAACAAAATCTATCGATGCCTGCGACGCGAATGTGTCCCGCAGGGCGGTGGCTGTCGGTCTCGAGGAGGATTTGTTCGTATCACTGGTTCTGACTCCTCGCTGTCATCATCATCACCATTGTCATCATCGTCGTCGTCGTCGTCGTCATCGTCGTCGTCGTCGTCTTCTTACACAGGTACATGAGGAGCTGATGACGATGAAGTACCTCCGTAGAATAAGGACCCTGGAGGTGTATGACTGACTATCCCACCGGCCTGCAAAAACTGGGAAAAGTCATAAAACCCAGACATCGCTGAGTGTGAAAACTGTACAGGAGGCGGTGTCTGTGCTGCGGCCATGGGTAATGAGGCTGAACCCGCCAAATATCCAGCATATGAACCCCAAGTCGAGTCTGCAAACATAGATCCATAATAGCCTCCAGGAGGGGTCATCTGTGACGGTGGCGGTGGTGGGGTCATAAAACCGGGTGAAGGCGGTGACATCTGATAATGGAAAGGTGATGGCGGCATCATATATGGCTGGGGCATCATATATAGCTGCGGTGGCTGCTGGGAAGGTCCTGCTGGTGCAGCTGAGGATGAACCGGAAGCACCTACTCTCCGTCCACGAGTCGGGGGACGATGGTGCTGTGTCGGTGAACGTCTCTGTCGACATCGTGAAAATGTCTGCCCTCGTGCATACTCGGGAAGTAGAAACGGTTTCCCGTTACTGTTGAACCACTCATAATAATCCTCAGGATACATCAAGAAGTCAGTAAAAATGGGCTCTCTACGTGGAAGGCGCCGATGTCGATCCTCCCACAACACGACCACTCATGATGCCTCACCAGCCAATCTGTATCTGTCTTGCCGCGTCTATCTAAGCTATGCAACTCATCCATATTGCGAGGTGCTTCCGGAATTGGTTGAGAACAACCAAACTGCCGGAGCATGCGATCAGTGGAGTGCCACTCGACGGTCGCATAACAGATCAGAGGGACCATCGCCATCCAAACATCTAATGAACCCCTCAACTCAGGTGGGATCACCGCCCTCACATCATCAGTAAAATATGGCACCCATTCAAACTAAAACAAATAATATATAATTTTTATCAAAATAATAATCTAATTATATAACTATAATCTAAAATCGATTTTTAAACATTAAAATTCATACCTGTGTGCCAGCCTTCTGATCGATTAGCACCCTAATCTTTTCTAAATTATCAGGTAGCTCCTGATGATTTTTCCTATCAGTAGACCACCTATTCAAGGAAACAAAATTTGTTATACGCTGTAGAAAATTATTAATATACAAAATCATTTTTATAATTACCTCAGAAGTAGTGGAAATACGAATGGGTTCTTCACAACGGGACATAAAAAGGGCAATCGATACCATGCCCAAGACTGCAGCAGCAGGAGACATCCGCCGATAGCATTACACCTGTAGTCAGTGGCTCCACACATCTTTCTGTACAACAAAGCCAAAACTGCCGAGCCCCAACTGAATGATCCGACGAGACGAAAGTCGCTAAGATGTCGCAACCACATGCAGTGAACTAGGTTGTGCGATTTGTCCGGCATCAACAACCCTCCTATCAGCTGCAGTATGCATGCCCGTGCATACACCTTAACCTCATCCTTAGAGGCGTCTGCGCTCAACTCCCAAAAATTGGCATCTAACCAATTTAACGGTATCCTACCTCCGATAAAATTTTCCGGGACACGTCCTAGACTATCCCGACACAAACCAGTCCAAGAACTGGAAACTATCCCCGATATCACATCTCCATTCACCGGAAGCCCCAGGTGCATAGAAACATCCTCAAGCGTGATCGTGCACTCTCCGCACGGAAGATGGAATGTGTGGGTCTCCGGCCTCCACCGCTCTACTAAGGCAGAAATCAAGTATGGCTCTATCTTACAGTGACCCTGATATCTACCTATGTAACTGAATCCAGCCTCTACTAAATACGGCAAGACACGACTGAGTATCACTAACTTAAGATTCCTAATAAAAGGATCTAATACACGGTCCTTCTCCTAAAAATAAATAATTACAAAAATTAATTCTTAATCTAATAATCATGCATTAAATGAATCAACTAATTATTAATAATAATTTAAATTAAATTAAAACGTTAAAATGTTACCGTATCAGCAAAGTGTCGAGATATTTAATTATTAATATAATAATCATGCATTAATTAAATAACTAAATATTACTAATAATTTAAATTAAATTAAAACGTTAAAATGTTACCGTATCAGCAAAGTGTAGAGATATATGATTTTCATCCGAGCGAAGTATACTGCCTTCCATTATATATCTGCAAAAGAATTATATTAGTAAAATATTAAATAAAGTAAAAATATAATAGTAAAAATATTATAAAATATACCTTAAAAAGAGAGTATTTGAGAGAAATTTAGAGAATTTAAGAGAATTTGGTGTGATAAAATTGATTGAGAATGGGGGTATTTATAGGGAGGAGGGGTCGGTAGTTAGGGGTATAGCACGCCCCCTGCACAGCGCTATACCCCACATGTCAGATATATAGGTATAGCGCGCTGCAGGGGCCGCGCTATACCCACGTGGCGCCAGCTCACCGTATAGCGCGGTACAGGAGGCGCGTTATACCTCACGTGGCGCCAAATCATCGTATAGCGCGGTGCAGGGGGCGCGCTTTACTGCTAAGGGTGTTAGATCGAGAAATATAATCTGACCGGTGTTAGATCGGTAATATTACCGGTCACCGGTGATATATCGGGAAAATCGCCATTTTTTTCAGTTAGAAAATTATTTTTTGACCAATAAGATGTTGACACATCATACAAAATTAAGTATTTTTTTATCAAAAAAATATTTTAGGGGATTAAAGAAAAAATGGTATAGTTTAGGAACTTATTTTGACAAAAAAATAGTTAAGGTACTTAAAGCGATTAATATAATACTTAGTTTGACAAAAAAATAGTTTAGGTACCAAAATCAAAAGAATAGCATAGTTTAAGTGTTTTTTTTCTAGTTTAAGCCAAATGTAAATAAGAAATAAGTAATAATTAATTTAAAAAAATGCTTCTACTCTAAAATAAATAATAAATAGACAATTAAGATTCAAATAATTGATTGCAACAAACTAGATTAGAATAAATTAATTAAAAAATGTATAAATTTTACCATTTATATTATGTTGTCGTGATAAATGCTTTTCATTTCCACCAAATCATTAATATCCAAATGTCATAATCGAAGTCTGATTCAATCCATTAGATATTTCGGCCATTGGATCATTTCCGTCGTTTAATCCGTAGATCATTAATATCTAATGTCGCTCCTTTTTAATATCCAAATGTCGCTCCTTTTAAGTTCGGAAATGATCGGAAATGATTTTAATCCGTAGATCAAAATCAAAATCCATTTAATCTCGTAGATCAAAATCAAAGCTTTTCATTCAATCCATTAGATATTTCCGCCATTGGATCAAAGCTTTTCATTGTATCACTGAAGAACAAACTCATGGTCTCGTTGATCCATAGTTGAAAAAGGAAATATTTTTTTAAAAAATAGAGTAAATAATCAGCGAATATTTTCAATTGAAGAATCAGCGATGAGTTCAGTTTCTTCAGTGTTTGTCGCTCCTTTTAAGTTCTCCGGATTCCGATCTATTCCTTCCTTTAATCCGTCGTCTCCGCCGCCGTGTTTCCGTGTGGTGTGCCGTAGCGGATCACCTCAGCCTCCGCCGTCCACCGATCTCAGATTCGCCTTGCATGATGCTCTCGAATTCTTTGAATTCGATACGTCTCACGCCAGAGTATTGCTACTGTCTCTTTTCTTACATAATCTGTGATTTTCATTAGCTGTTTTAGGGAAAAAAAATCTGAATTTCCTTTTTGTGGACTTGATCTCATTGGTAAAGAGTGTTTAATTATATCAAAATTACTTTGATTTTAAATATCAGTTAGGAACGATATGATTCCAGCTTGTATCTGCTACTAATAAATGTTAATCGAATTGTGTTCTCTGATTCAAAATTGGAAAGATTTTGATGTGAACTGAGCATCTTAGTACGATTGAAGAATATTCAATTCTGGGAATTTAATCTTTTTGTGGATTGTTTGATATATAATTATAAATAATCATGGAAGAGGAATTAATGTAGTTTGGCGATTTTTGAACATGGTTGCTTCAATATGCTTAGTTTAGAAATCAATCTCTTAAGTTTTGGTTTATTCAATTTAGAAAGAGGCTTGCAAAATTGAAGCAAAATCGTGGTGGAACGTTTGTAGTGGTTTTAAGTACTGGTCTGAAAGGGACACTACAACAATTAGAACTTGAAACTTCCAATTCAAATTAAGTTCGTTTCCTAAGGAAGATGGTATTTAGGAATTATTTCCCGGTTTTATATTTGAGTCCAATGAGATTTTATTACCCGCCAAACAATAATATAAAAACTGAGAGCTTAAGTTTGATGGGAGTTTTAGTGGTATGTTAATCTAACATTGTTTTTTTTTTTATGTTAATTGATTTTGACGCAGGAGGCTAGGAAGAATTTTGTTTCACAAATTCAGAAATTATCTGTTATCGAGAGAGAAACAAGTATTTGCATAAATAGGTGTGTTGATCTAGCGAGAACCGCTCTTTACGTAGCAGCAGAGGATGTCTCTCTCGTTTCGCACTCTTCGGATCCTCTTCCGGTGGATGCTTTCCTCGAAAGATTGGATGATCTCTCCATGGGCTACTGCTCTCATTAGGGCTGTAAATGAGACGCGCGAGTTACTCGAGATCGACTCGATCAAGACTCGGATCGAATGTACTCGAGCTAGAGCTCGACTCGAGTTCTTAACGAGTCGAAACGAACTACTCAATATTCGACTCAAAAAGCTTGTGAGCAGCTCGAAAATATAATATATTAAATTAAAAAAAATTATTAATAATATTAATATTTATGTATTGATTTTTTTTAAAAAAAATACGGTAAAATTTCATATATTTAAGGTTCATGTTTGAGTTTGAGGCTTTAATCGAGTTAAGTTTAAGAATTTTTTTTCATTTCGAGTCTTTTCGAGCTGCTCACGAGCTTTAGTTCAGGATTTCGAGTTCGAGTCGAGTTAAAAAATTTTAAACTCGCGAGTTTTCGAGTCGAGCTAAACAATACTCGAGCTCAACAATACTCGAGCTCAACTCGGCTCGTTTACACCCCTAGCTCTCATTATAACTCATCAAGTAGGTCATCACGGGAGATGTTTTTGGAGAGCATAGAAAAATATCTTTATGTCAAAAAGGTACCTATGAGAATTTTGCTAATGTTATTATTGCCATTTTCAAATCTTTTGACTTCAACAAACCAAGTTCTTTTCGTTTCCATTGACTGTCTAGTTTAACTCAATTGAGGTCAAGGAATTATGCAACATTTAGGGAATGCATTTTTTTCTTCAGTAGATCCCATATCTACAGAATGTGTTGCAATGAACAGTGTAGCCTTCTGTGTTCCGTTAGTTGCATATATGAAATAAAACATTCCGTCTCATTTAGGTACTACTTGATCTAATTATTTAAACTTCAGTAACTTGGTTTCTTATTACTTGATCATTTTTTTTTTTCCTAATTGGTCAATCCATTCATTTCTACTAAGGCCTTCTGGAGGTCTGTGGTCGAGAATCAAGCAGAACCACAGGCCCTTTATATTCACTCGGTATGAAATTTGCCTTCTAGAATTTGATTTTTTTTTCTTTTCTGAAAGTTTTATCAATTTTTGGTGTTTGTTTTGTTAATTAATCTTTTGTTTTAGCAGGTTTTGGCACATCGTTCGGGTTCTGCTGTAATGCTTTCGCTGATACATTCAGAGATCCTGAAAATGCTTCGGTTGTGGGGCCTTCTGGACTTCGATGTTGAGATTTTTTTTTTCCACATGATCTTCAAGGTCTTCCTAGGGCCTATGATAAGCAAACGAGCAAAGAGTCTGATCAGCCCCACATAATGACTGTACAAATGCTATTGGGGGAGGTAACTTCTATACTGTTGAATATTTTTTTACTTCTAATTTTAAATCCAGGATAAAGTGAAAAACAAAACAAGTGCTAGTTACTTACCTTTTCATTAAGGTTTTATTGCATCTTTGTGTTGTGCTTTATCGCTTTTCTTAATTGCTATTAGATAATCAGACATGGGCAAGTGGAACGTAAGTAGAAACATGTACCTGAACTTGGTTCTCAGCTTTCTACTGTCTGCATGTGCTTTTTACAGAATAAACGAAGAAACTAAAATGTGAAATGTTTGCAAACTACTTGATTAATATTCTCCTTTCTCTTTTTCAAGGCTCTCCTCCCATGTTTCATGGGATGCTGAGGTGGCATTCTGAGATTTTAACAACATTTATTTAACTGATGTCTTGACCGGTGTGCTAGTTTGGTTTAAACTTTGTTTTTAATCTATATGAAGTGTTACAACATGACATTCTTCATGTGGATAATCTAATCTTGGGGGCACTTGCGGGAAATTTATCTTCAACATATTCAACTTTGCCTCCCCTCCCCCGCCCCCCAAAAAAAAAAAAATTCTCTTTCTGTTATGAATATTGCATTTCTGCTCCTTTTATAATCTTTTTACCTATGGTTTTGCTATCTTCTCATATAGTTTTATGATTGCAGATTTTAAGAAATTTAAAGGATGCTTTCTGGCCATTTCAACGTGATGATGGTGATAGTTTATTTTTAAGGGCAGCAGATGCTGTTAACCGTGTAGATAAATTTAATGGCTTTGAGAAGAGGTATTTGATCTTTATTTACAATTCAATTTGTATTTAGATGTTCTTTGGGAATTCTAGGTTATGATTTCACATTTCTTTCCATATAGTGGCTATTGGCTTGAATCTGCAAAGGCTTCTCAAGATAGGGTAGATCGGGGTGTTTGGACCGGTGTTCGTTTTGGGGATAATGAGGTGCGCTTTATCTGGTATGATTAGAATATGGCGTTGCATCAGTAGATTTCCTTTTATTTTACCTAATAAATATATAAACGATAGCTTTAACATTTGTACCGATTGTTATCAGAGATTGATAAAGTAAGGATAGTTTAAGCTTAACTTTCCTTCTCTCCTTCTCATTCCTTGTGATGGAAAGGGTTAGCAAATCATTTTCACTATTTCCAGTGTTAGCATTTGATTGCATTCGTTGTCCTTTTTCTCCGTTTTTCAATTTCTTTTCTCAAACCTTCCTTAAGCAAAAGTTTCTTCATTTTCTTACTCTAGTAGTTTCTTTTGCCCATGAACTCATGACCAGATTCGGTTCGGGCATAATATCAAGGTTAACATACTTTTATATTGATGAAATTGTTCTTTTGTTGCAGCATGCGAACGTCTAATTCTTCTAGAAACAGATCCTAAGGAAATAAGAGATTACAGCGTTCTTCTCTACCATTGTGGATTGTATGAACAGGCTCTGAAATATCTCAGATTGTATCAAGACACAAAGGTATGTTTTACGGTACGATGTATATGACTTCAAATTCAGTTTTTAAGAATTGGGATAAACATGTTCAGTAAATCATTCGCAGAGTTCTTCCCCACAAAATCCTTTAACAGATTCAGTTAGCAACCGAGAAGAAGACGCCGTAGAGAAATTGATCGTACGTCTCAATCTCATTGCAGCAGAGGAAGGTTGGACTCGTTCATCCTCATATGTCAGAAGTTTTCTTGGCAATAACTCTGAGCCATGGTAAGGCTTCATACCTTTTACCATGGCATTAAATTTCAACTAATACTTGTCTGAGCCGGGTAGTCAAATTAAGAGTTAGTCCACAAAATAAGTGCGAACGTCCGTAAACAGCGCGGTTTATGGATCATAAAACAAGCCTGCACAGAGCGTAAGACTGACCGGTCCGACTTTAGGGTTCGATATAGGCATTGGCAGTATATGGTTAATACACTTGATGAGCTTTTAGGCTGCCGTAGTATTATCTTTATCCCTAAACAGCACCAGAAGATTTTGTTTCGGTTTACCTTAAATCTTTGTAAATGATTGTCACTTGAACCTGTTGTGTATTTAACAGAATATGAAAATAGAAAATATGAGCACTCTAAATGAGTGCCATGCAGGGGTCTATACGAAACATTTGTGTTTGCAAATTATATTTTTTTCACCTCGAGAAAAAAACTTGTATTCGGCTTAGTAATTATCGAGTCAAGTTATCGAGCTAGCCGGATAATTCTTAACAATATATATATATATATATTTCAAGTACCTAAAATAAACAGAACGTGTGTTTATTTTTATATAAGTTTTATTGTTAATGAGGTGTTTATTTTTTATGTTTAAATTATTATAATAATTTAGATATTAACAATATTTTTAAATTTTTACACATTCACGTATGTCCATGTCAATTTCTAGATTATATTATGTTTTATATAGTTTATCTTATTTAGTTTATAAAATAATTCATATATAGAGTATGGGTAAAATATTAAAAAATGCTTTTAAAATTTGACTAAATATTCACTTTAATTTTTATGTTTATTTTTTAATATTTGACTAAACAACTTCATTTAAAAGTTCTCGGTTCGATTCGGGAAACTGGCAGCAGAGTTTGGTACGAATATACGGGAATGTCTCAGGAAAGGCGGGTTAATATACGGTTAATATACAGCATTACCGGATACATTAAAATGTATTTAATAAATTCGGTTTAGCGGTACCTATTATGTTGACAACTAATAATGTTTTAGGTAGAAAATATGAAAAACTATTAAAAAATTTGGTAACCGGTAAACTTTGGTTATCGGTAAGTATCTATCCTTTTTATAAAAGTGTCCATACGTTTAACATATCAAGTAAATTTTACCGGTTTTGTCATAATGAATCTGGTTTTGTCATATTTTTACTTGTTATATTGTAAATTATCTATCCTTTTTATAAAAGTGTCCATACTTATTTCACTGTGAAAATATATTTATTATTATCTTTAGTTAATATTGTTAAATTTAAAATCTAAATAATATTTTATAAAATATCAAAACAATCAAATAATTTTTTGTGTAAATGAAATTATTAAATTAATATTGTAGGTGGAAAACATGAAACACTATTAAAAAATTTGAAACATAAATTACATAACTTTCAAAAAAGTATATATCATTTTTATAAAAGTGTCCATACTTATTTCACTGTTGAAAACATATTTATTATTATATTTGGTTAATATTGTTAAATTTAAATGCTAAATAATATTTTATAAAATATCAAAACAATCAAATAAAATTTTGTGTAAATTAAATTATTAAATTAATATTGTAGGTGGAAAACATGAAACACTATTAAATAAATTGAAACATAAATTACATAACTTTAAAAGCAGTTTTAAATCCTAAAAAGTGTCGATACTTTTAAAAAATATATCGATCCAAACGATATACCAGGTAAAAATATGATAAAACCGGTAACAAAATGATAAAACCGGTAAATTTAAAAGTGTCGATACGTTATAAAAGGATCGACACTTTGTGAATTTAAAAGAGAAGCAGTTATAGCGCCTATAATGTGTCGATACTTTAAAAAAAAATATCGATCCACAACGATATAACAGGTAAAAATATGATAAAACCGGTATCAAAATGATAAAAACGGTAAAATGATACCGGATATATTGAAAGTGTCGATACTTTCGTAAGTACGTGTAATAAATTATCGACACTTTCAAAGAAATAGGTAATTATCCTTTCGAAAGTATCGACACCTGACATAAAAGTATCGACACTTTTGTATTTGTATCG